TTATAAATTTCTTCTATTTCTTTTGCATATGGGTACTTTAAAAGAATTATCATAATTATTTTTTTCCGGAGATAGCTAACAGTGCTTACATTGTTTATAGCATCTACATTGATTCCTGCCTTCAGCAGCAAGCTGGCCTCTCTGTCATGACCATGCTGTGCCACATAATGGAGAGCATTCATTTTTCTCTACAGACAGAAGATAAATATTAATTCATGAAAATAACACTGCCAACCCACTCTTGAATTGCATATTTAAGTAAACAAGCATACATTAGTTTGTGCATTGACATTACAGCCAGAATCCAGCAGAAGTCTAACGCATTCATAGTGACCTCCGTCAGCTGCCGTGTGCAATGGTGTGAGATCATCCTACAACAACACAATACAACAGGTACAATCAAGGTCAAAGGTTTTTACAGTTTAAAGCTTATTATTCACAAGCATGAAGAAATGTGTTTTTTCAGGTTCAAAATGCTTGAGTGATCCCAAAGTTTGGTGAGTAGGAATCATTTTTGCTTAGAAGGGTCTTGCAAGGCCAACAGGTCCTGGTCAAAGGGCCAGGCTACTTGAAACTAGAGAAATCGCTGTGATTAGGAGTCACTACCTCACCCAGTTTACTGAGGAACCACATAAACTAACATTACTAATAGTTTTTCCCCATGCTGTGAAAGTTCTTTTATTTTTGGCAAATTCAATCTGGTCTTCCTGTTCTTGAGCGTAACCAGTGTTACACCTTGTTGTAAACTGTCTGAGCTGGCTAGTATATTCCTTCTGGTTGAAAATGTCCCAAAATGTTATTTTGGCTCCTCATAAAACTTTTTAATCTCTCTCTGATATGTTTATTAGTTTTTCATTTAATGATGGCTTCTGTTGCTTCATCAACATCTCCTTAAAACTCATATTAAGTGTTCCAGTAAACAGCTACCCAATGCCAAGTGTAAATGGTTGTCTGCCTCTCTGTGTTAGCACTGTAACAGATTGGCAGACTGTTCAAGGTATACCCTGCATCTTCCCCATGAGGTGAATAGGCTCCAGCCCATCAATGACCCTGAATGGGTGAGTGGATGGCTAAAAAGAAAACAAGAAAAATGCTTCAGTGGCAGGACCCACTGATTGATAGGATTCACCCTTCTTTAAGGTTCTGGACATCATAAGGCTGCTCTGTCTGCAACACAACACACAGTTAGGTACACAAGTGTTTGGCAATTACAATTTCTGTAATTTGTTCAATCTTAGCCTTCGCTTGTGTCAGCATCTCTTTGGACCTCATACAAAGGGTTTCACTGGACATCTACTAAATGTAAGTTCAACACTTATCTCTATATCTCTGCTTAATTACTGATAGAATAATTATGGGAAAAGTCTTAAATGGCCACAAAACTGCTTGGCAGCCATGTATCCAAATGCTTTTGAGCCTCAAAGGTTTAAAAGGTATAAAACTTTCTATAATTCCTAAACAATTAATGCAACACTTCTGTTAAACCCTTATAACAACCCTGTTTCCTGCACCCTGTCCAGAGGTGCTGGATCTGGGGGGCATCCGTTCATCTGGGTCTATGGCTTGCAAAGCCCTTGACCTGTCTTGGGGATGGGATGCAGTGTGCTTCAGGTGGCACACGTTCATAGAGATGTTGCTCTTCTTCGTATCTTAGTCATAACAATAATATCATGTACGTAAATGGTAATGGACTCACACCCATTGCACATCTTTGGTAAATGAAATGGTATTGTATAGGCCTATGTAATCCCAACACTTCGCGCGTGGATGCATCTGAGGAATGGGTACATCTTGCCAGATAATTGCATGCACCTTGTTTTTTCCAATGTACAATCAGGCAGACTGTAACAGCGAACAATTATCTATTGTTGGAACCAATTTGCACAGTGTTTTGGTTAAAACATAGTAACTCTGTTTAAAAAATTGTTCATTATGCCTGTTTATAGCGTACTATCCCAAACCCAAAGCGCTTTACATATCCTGTCACACACACATTCACACACTGGTAATGGCAGCTACGGTGTAGCCACAGCCACCCTGGGGCGCACTGACAGAGGCGAGGCTGCCGGACACTGGCGCCACCGGGCCTCTGACCATCACCAGTAGCAACGGTGAAGTGTCTTGCCCAAGGACACAACGACCGAGACTGTCCAAGCCGGGGCTCGAACCGGCAACCTTCTGATTACAAGGCGAACTCCCAACTCTTGAGCCACGATCGCCCCAATTGTTCTGATACTCCTGATACATACGGATCACTAAGGGTTTTTGCTTAGACGGCAGTTTCACCTTCTTTCCTGGATCGGCTGGAGCTTTTTTAGGTGCCTTGGATGAGTGACAAAACATTTCTTCCACTGAAAACACTACATCCAGATGAACAGAATCAACTTTTTGAAATTTCCTTACCTGGATGCTGGCCTTCCTCGTGAGTTTATCCAACCTCTTCCTCTCAGCTGCAGATAAACTGCTGCTCCAACAACCACACTGTAAAAATGACAGATGCCACCCACAGAGTCATAGAAGGTCTTTAAAAGCGCTCCCTGGACTCCAAATGACCTCAGCCGCCTCAGCAGGTAGCGTCTGCTCTGACCCTTCCTGTAAAGAGCATCAGTGTTGTGACTCCAGTCCAGTTATTACTCAGGTGAACACCCAGGTACCTATAAGAGTCCACTATCTCAATGTCCACTCCCTGGATGTTCACATACTGTGGACGTCCTGTGAGGTAGTCCAGTATCACTGGGACATGTGGTGGTCCACTCCAATAGCTCCAGCCTGTCTCTCAGAAGTCGTGGCTGGATGGTGTTGAAAGCACTGGAGAAATCAAAGAACATGATCCTCACAGAGCTTCCAGGCTTCTCCAGGTGAGTCAGAGCTCGGTGCAGGAGTAGATGATGCGTCCTCCACCCCGATGCCAGGCTGGTAAGCAAACTGCAGCGGATCCAATGAAGACCTCACCAGGGAGCGCAGATGGTTTAGAACCAACCTCTCGGGGTCTTCATCAGATGCGATGTCAGGGCTACCGGCCTGTAGCTGCTGAGGTCCTTGGGACGGGAGGTCTTGGTAGCCGGTACACAGGAGGTCTTCCACAGCTGTGGTACTTTCCCCAGTGACAGGCTCAGGTTGAACAGATATCCTAGGATGCCACACAGTTCATCTGCACAGCATCTCAGGAGCCTGGAGCTGACGCCATCTGGACCTGCAGCCTTCTGCACCTTGATCTTGCGAAGCTCATTCCTCACTTGAAGTGCTGAGATAGAAAGAGTGGATTTTGGGGAGGGGTGTGTATGTTGGAGTCCACAGAAGCCTGGGGTGGGTGTGATGGCTGGGAGCTGAGAGGTGTGAAGTCCTGAGATGAAGGACAGGCGGTCCCTGAAGATGAAGGAATTGCAGCAGGGGGACGATGCTGTGGTGGGCGTTGATCAAACCTATTAAAATATTTATTTAGGTCATTCACCCACCCCAAGTCTCCTGCAGCCTGGGAGGTTGGTTTTTGTCCTGAGATGTCTTCAGGCTGTTCCAATTTCATCTTCAGAAAATGAACAGCATGCTCTGGTTAGTCACTAGGAGAGTTTTGAAGCAGTGGCTAAATGTTAGCAGAGTATAAGGCTGTAAACTTAAGAATTCACCCTATAACTTCTATCAGCAACCACATCTTCAGTGAACACTGACCCCGTGCCACTAACAGCCGCACATACATGCCTGTGCCATAACACTCCTCCACCATGTTTGACAGATTTAAATACATTGATGGTAACTATAATATTTGGACTGTGACATAATATAAAGACAGCAACAGCCTTTTGTCTAATTTCATAATATGTTGAAACAGACGTGTTAAGTAACAACTGTCATTTTCAGTTGAGTAATGAGTACTGGTTGAACAGCATGCCATATTAGGACAGAATTCAGCTGGCCTTTCTAACTATATAAGCCGAACACTTGTGTTTTCAGCAGGTATTTCTCAGTCGGCTGCTCTTCTTCAGTAACCAGCCATGATCCTCCAGGCGGCTGTGCTCAGCGTGTTCTTGTGCTTCGCCCACACTTTTGTTATAGAGGTAAGCGTTGTAGTTAAGTATGCAGACGTAGATTTCCTCTCTGATTTGACCAAGATGTTTTATTTTGTTAAAATGGAATACAAGCTTTCTTCAAAACAAAACATAAGAACACAAAGAGAATACTTCTGTTTTTCATTTTATTAATTTATTGTATAAATTGGAATTTGCAATTTTAATCTTCAAGCATTTTTGAACTTGCAAACAAATCAAATACTAGTCCTTATAAACCCTTTTATCTTATACAGGCACCTTTTAAAAAAAGTGTTGAAAACTCCGGTAAGACTTGCTATTTTTACATTTAGCACTTGTATGTCATCACACTATGAGATATGCTCTTATTCATGTTGATTTGTATTCATTTATTTATTTATTATAATGGTCCATATTGGATTTGCCTGACTCCTTGACATGTCTTTGTGATGTTGTAACATGTGACTTGTCCTTATAGAACAGTCAAACATATGTGCTTCATATTGAACAGGAAACAACACTGAGGGTGATGATTCGTATCTCGACACTGCTGGAGAAGGCTAATGCTAATCTTGGTATGTTCAACTTCACTTCAGTTCCTATTCATCAGTAGTAAATATACAGCTTTAGTAACAACATCCAGGGCTAACCTTAAAAACTGAGTTGATGTGTTAATGAAACCATCGAAAGTACACGGAAAATATGTTTTCTTTCCATACTTTACAGGGAAGAACTTGGATCAGAATCAGAATCAGAATCAGAATCAGAATGGGTTTATTGCCAGATGTTGAGGTTTACAACATTAGGAAATTGCTGCGGTGCTTCAGTGCAGACAATAAGAATTAAAGTGCTATGTAGAAAGAAAGATATGTGCATGAGATATACATGAGATATATACATGAGAATAAGAATTATGAGTGCTACGTAGAAAGATATATACATGAGTGCAGTGGTGATCAGTGCCAAACATGAAATGATGCAGTTACACAGCGTAGGTCATGTGTTAGTGGGGGGACAATCATGTGGTTATTGTTTATGTGTCCAACAGCAGAGGGAAGAAACTGTTCTTGTGGCGAGAGGTTCTGGTGCGAATGGACCGGAGCCTCCTGCCTGAGGGAGCAGGTCAAACAGACTGTGTCCAGGGTGAGAAGGGTCAGCTGAGATCCGGGCTGCACGCCGCAGTGTCCTGGAGGTGTACAGGTCCTGCAGAGATGGAGTCTGCAGCCAATCACCTTCTCAGCAGAGCGCACAACACGCTGCAGTCTCTGTTTGTCCCTGATAGTGGCTCCAGCGTACCACACGGTGATGGAGGAGGTGAGGATGGACTCGATGATTGCAGTGTAGAATTGCATCATCGTCCGTGTTGGCAGGTTGAATTCTTCAGCTGCCTCAGGAAGTACATCCTCTGCTGGGCTTTCTTGATGACGGAGGTGATGGTGGGCTCCCACTTCAGGTCCTGGGTGATGGTGGTACCCAGGAAGCGGAATGAGTCCACAGAGGTGATGGGGGTGTCAGTCAGGATGATGGGGGGAGTGGGGCTGTGTGCTTCCTGAAGTCCACAATAATCTCCACTGTCTTCTGGCATTCAGCACCAGGTTGTTGTGGCTGCACCAAGACACCAGACGTTCAACCTCTCTCCTGTAGGCAGACTCGTCCCCGTCCGAGATGAGCCCAATGACGGTGGTGTCATCTGCGAACTTGATTAGCTTGACAGACTGGTGGGTGGAGGTGCAGCAGTTGGTGTACAGGGAGAAGAGCAGAGGAGAAAGAACACAGCCCTGAGGGAGCCGGTGCTGATGGTCCGGGAGTCCGAGACATTCTTTCCCAGCCTCACGTGCTGCTTCCTGTCCGTCAGGAAGTCAGTGATCCACCGGCAGATGGGATCAGGCACATTCATCCGGGAAAGCTTGTCTCGGAGATGGTCTGGAAGGATGGTGTTGAAGGCAGAGCTGAAGTCCACAAACAGGATCCTGGCGTAGGTTCCTGGGGAGTCCAGATGCTGCAGGATGAAGTGTAGGGCCATGTTGATGGCGTCGTCTACAGACCTGTTGGCTCTATATGCAAACTGCAGGGGTCCAGGAGGGGGGCCGTGAGGGTCTTGAGATGGGAGAGAACTAGGCGCTCAAATGACTTCATGACCACAGATGTCAGAGCCACGGGTCTGTAGTCATTTAGTCCAGTGATCCTAGGTTTCTTGGGACAGGGATTATGGTGAGGACTTGAAGCAGGCAGGCACATGACATGCCTGCAGTGAGGAGTTGAAGATGCCAGAAAACACTGGGGCCAGCTCGTTTGCACAGTGTCTGAGGGTGGCAGGAGACACACCGTCTGGCCGGGAGCTTTCCGAGCATTCAGACTCCTAAACTGCTTCCTCACATCTGCTTCATGAATATGAAGAGTTGTGGTCGGAGGAGGTGGTGTGAAATCCTCTTTGTGTGGGGTGAGGGGCGGGTGTTGCAGGTGAACAGTTTGAAGGTGGTGATGGCTCTATGGAGGGGGGGAGGTGGGGGAATGAGTGTCCAAAGTGCCTCTATTGTTGGGGTCGTTGGAGGTGTGAAGGCTGCCTGATGGCTCGTCAAAACGGCAGTAGAAGTTGTTAAGGGTGTTGGCTAAGAGCAAGTCATCAGTGGAGTGGGGGTTTTAGGCTTGTAGTTTGTAATATTCCTAAAACCTTTCCACACAGAGGCCGAGTCATTCTCTGAGATCTGCTGCTGCATCTTCTCAGAGTGCTGATGTTTGGCAATGTCCACTTCTTTAGTGAACCTGTACTTGGCCTCTCTGTAGCAGTCCCTGTCTCTGCTTCTGAATGCCTTACACTTTTCCAGCCACAGCTTTTTGAGTTTAGGAGTAAACCAGGGTTTGTCATTGTTATAACTCACCCTGGTGCGTGATGGCACAATGCTGTCCTCACAGAAGTGGATATAGGAGGTGACAGTGTCCGTAAACTCGTCCAAGCTGTTAGAAGCAGCCTTCATTGTGTCCCAGTCTGTGGTCTCCAAACACGTGCGAAGCTCCTCCACAGCCTCGTTGCTCCACAGTTTTTTAGTCCTCACGACAGGTTTGGAGAGCTTCAGCCTCTGTCTGTACGCGGGGATTAGGTGGATCATGACGTGATCAGAAAGTCCGAGTGAAGCGCGGGGCACTGCGCGATAGGCCCCGCTGATCGTGCTGTAGCAGTGGTCTAATGTCCTCTCCTCTCTGGTCGGGCATTTAATATACTGCTTATATTTTGGAAGCTCATGGCTCAGATTGGCTTTGTTAAAGTCCCCAAGAGCAATGATGAGAGAGTCCGGGAATGTCCGCTCCGTGTGGAGAATCTGCTCCGCGAGTGTGCACTGAGCTGCCTGCGCATCTGCGTCTGGCGGGATGTAAACAGCGGCCAGGATGAATGAAGCAAACTCCCGCGGAGAATAAAACGGTTTGCAGTGAATAAAAAGATATTCCAGAGAGGAGAGCAGTGCTGAGCAATCACTGTTACATCTGTGCACCAGCCACTATTGATGTAGAAGCAGACACCTCCACCTTTGGTTTTACCGGAGAGAGCGGCCTGCCGGTCCGCGCGCAGCAGATGGAAGCCCTCCAGCTTGAGCGCGCAGTCCGGGATGTCCTCGCTGAGCCACGACTCCGTAAAACATAAGACACAGGAGGAGGCAAAGTCCAGAGGATGAACCTCTGGTCATATTTGGAGACATAGCAGTGCCAACAGGTCTACAGAACGCTGATCCGTGTACGGCTCGAGGCTGTTTGTGGCCTAAAAACAATGGCAGAGTTGTTGTACCTTATCGAATCTCCGACCAGTACTGTAAGTCTAGATACATGGAAACATTCCTTTTTATTGAGCTTTCTGCTAATTTTTCAGGTTTAACTGAAAACTATTAGAATGATTTTCTCCGTCTGTAGGGTTTGTTTTGGGGTTTGTTTTTTTTTCCATTAGTGGGCAAAGCTGCTTCCCAAACCTTTTCCCTCTGAGATTCCACATTTTAGTGTCCTCTAAATACAAAGAGAAATCAACGGGTTCTCATCTCAGGGCTTCAAATACAGCTGTTTGGTCAAAAGACTAAACACTAAACAAGTATTTTAATGACATACAGAAAGGTTTTTGTGTACAGAGAATACAAAGAGTTTAAAAATACTACCAAGGAAACTGAAAAGGACAGTTTATTAAAAAAGGAATTAGTCAGTTACACATAAATTTCCTCCGATATATAAAAAAAAACAACCTAAATATACATCAATCTGTATCAGATAGATGTAATATAAAATTATATATAAAGCTTTGCCAAAGCTTAGCATGGAGACTGATACAAGATATTCAGTCGCAATTTTGAAGACCTTAATGTTGCAGATAAAATTGCTGTTTTCTCGGTTCTAATGCCTTTTTCCTTCCATTGTGCTTTTGGCTCAATCCAACCCAAGAGGCGCTCTTTAATTCAAAAGTGCAGGAACTAGTTAGAGGAAACTACAAATAAAATTTACACCTTCTTCCAGTGTCACAATCAAAAAAAATTTATTTATTTTTTTTGGCAAGTTTGACAAGTTTTCTCCAGGGAATTACCTGACAAAGCATCCAGAGTGCCACAGACATTACACTGGGGGTGTCTTGTTATTGAACCTATGATATATCCCAATATAATAACACTCAAAGTTAGTTATAGTTAAGATATGTAGATAAAATGGGACAGATGTATTTTACCCTGAAAATTTCTGTTAGCTATGCCACATCAAAGATACTGGGGGGGAGCAGTTCAATGTTATGACCAATCTTTACAAGCTTCAAGCCAACATAATGAAGAATATTTTATGCTTTCTATAAATTCATTAAAGTTGTACAAAAACATCAGCTGATTTTGAGGCAGTAACATAGATTTGATTGATTTATAGGCCAGTGTAAGTAGTAAGCAGTTACTCAGGAGTAGCAGCATTGTGCTCAGTCTTAGTTGAATATAATGCCACAACAAACTAGAACCACAATACATGTTTTTCTGTGAAGCCCGCAGGGAACGTGACGTCATCGAGCAAGGTCTGAGGTCATTTGAAGCAGCCACGTGCGTCAGCTTTAGGCCCCAGAGCAGAGAAAGAGACTTTCTGGACATTCAGTCTCGTGATGGGTAAGTCCAACACAAAGTAGGCATTTATACTTGAATTCTACAGGCAAACTTTTCATCTAACGCAGGATGTTCTGAGTGAGGAAGCTGTTTTACTGGTTTGTCATAAAATTTTTATTTACCGCTCTTTTCAGGTGTTACTCTTTTGTTGGGCGTCGTGGGGTGGCCAGATAGTGTCACTGAGTCGCCAGGGCTGTGTTTTCCACCAGATAGTCCAACACGAGGTGCTCCATGCCCTGGGCTTCGACCATGAACAGACGCGTTCAGACAGAGACCAACATGTACGCATCTTGCTAGAGAACGTCATCCCAGGTGGGTCACATGACAAACAACAGCCAGAAACAACAGTCAGAAAAAATCTTTAAGTGGTCAGGATGACAAAAAAACTTCTACATAAATGACAGTTCATTTACCAACAGTAGAGCAATAAT